CTTTATTATGTAAGTCATTACCTCATATGAACTGTAATGTTAAAAATATTTATTTAAACAATTTTTTTAAAAAAAAAGAGATTGCCCTTCTATTATCCTTATAAGACAGCAGCACGAGACAAAGACATCAAGCAGATTACTGTTCTAGCTATCAAGATAAATGGGAAAGGCATGACCTGGCTGCTTATTCCATGTCAGGCAGAGCACTAAGGCACAAATGGAACATGATACAAGAGATTGGTGACTGATTTTTGCTCTGAGAAACACTGGTGAACAATTAACTGTTCATCCTAGGCGGACTCCTGGATGTTAGTCTCGCCTGTCCACCTAAGCTTGTGTTGGGGCAGAGCAGAAACACATAGATACGCCTAGATGTGCTAACACCTCTATTCCCACAAGCAGAGCCACCTCAGCACTCCCAAATGTTTTTGGCAAAAGAAATAACTGCAACACCAGTCTTAGATCTCCCATATAATCTTCAGTTTAGCCTTACCTTCAAGAGTTACACTTACTGAAGCCAACTTAAGCAGAAATATTTTCTGGGATTTGCACACATTAAATGTAAAGATATGTACTTACCTTAATATTACTGTTCTAACATTGGGGATTTTCTTTTAAGCAAATTACTTAAGACACTCTCCCCACATTTTAATAATGTACCATATTTTGATCTCGTAAGAGTTGTACAATATTAAAATGCTGCCTTTCATCCTTGCAGAAAGTTAAGTGTTAAACACATACTGCATACACACACACTAGGTTGGATCTGGACTATGTCATACTCAGATTCATTGAAATTAGTGACACTTTGGTTAGTCACGATTAAGCCTCACTGGCTTCACTGTACAGTGAAGTGTACTACTCCAAGTACAACCAATTTTGAATTCAATCCATCACCTTTGTCTGTGTGCTCAAAATGGATGAGGCAAGCATAAAAAAACAGAAAGGATATTCCACTGAGCAAGAACAATTAAAATAGTGAAGAGATGGCCTTGTTTGTCCTTTGTAGGATTTATTTCTAAAAACCAGTGCAATGATCTTGTGCAAGCAACAATGGAGGAGGGTAGTGCAAACAGCAACATTTTTGTTCATGCTAATTTTCAAAATGGTTCAGGCACAAGGAGAGGAACGTATGTGCTGTTCTTTATGTCATGTCAACAGGAACTACCCGTTAAACTCTCCTAGTATTTTGGATTACAGATGGAATGGGAACAAGGAACAGAGGGAAGCCACGCCAACCCAGCAACTTGCAGGTAACTTCCCACAGGAGATTCACTAACTTCAGAAAAAAAAGGTTCTCACAGCTGTAAGTTAAGGCAGAGCAGATATGAAATCTTTCTCTTGCTTAAAAAACTCTAAAACACCACACACACACCAAAACCAGTAGTGCCTGTACCTCAACCTTTACTGTACCCATTTAGCATTTTTTTAAATTAGCAAATATTTAAAATTCAGTTCTATCTTTAACTAAGCCTTGAAGTAAAATAACAAGAATGACATATCCATGATATGGACTAAAACACACACACTATATGCCCATGTTAATTTAAAGGACATTTATAGCTGCCCTTTGACAGTAATGTGAATTTACCCCCACGTAACGATGCAACTCCAGTTCCCAACTTTGAATAACTCAGGTGTTCTTGGACTGCAACACCCAGAAATCCGGGCCAGCATAGCTGATGGTGAAGGCTTCTGGGAACTGCAGTTCAATTCTTTTATCTGCTTCTAAGAAATTTGTTTAGTGTGTGAGAAACCTACCTGAAGGACAAGATCACTATCTCAAGCATGTGTAATAAAAACAAAAGTAAGAACAGAAGCACTGTGACACCTTAAAGGACAAATTTCAGTGCCAGCTCTGAGGAAGTGGATTGTAGTTCATGAAATTTCACACTGAAATCTGCTAATATTCAGAAAATTTGACTTTATGGATTGCTGGAATGATTAAAGGAGAAGAAAATTTAAAAAGTGCCATAAAGGTGGCCGAAAAAGAGAAAATAGATTGAAAAGCTGCTTCATGAAGGAATAGTTTACATTAGTTGTAACTATTTTCTAAAGAATGCCATTGTCTTCTAAAAAAAAAGAGATTGTTTGGAAGGAAAGCAACTAATAAAATAAGATGGCAGAAGTATTTCATTGTGTGCCATTTTTGAGGCGGGGGGGAAATCATGTAATGTGAACAGAGAACAAGAAACAGAAAAGAGATGAAATGTAATAAATAAAAAATCTGAAGAAAATACCCTAATCAATCAGCGATGGCCTAATAGATTTAAGAAAAATAACAAACCTTGTTGCTAAATAACTACACTGGCATGGTTCCTGTACACTTACATCTAATGGATAATTAATGTAGATGCACATATTAGTCACTTATAAGCAAAGGAATGAGGTAAGCATGTTTATATTTCTGCTTTTAAGCAGAAACCTGTGCTAAGAAGCGAAAAAAGCAAACAACTATCACTAAGAAACAGGAGTAGCCACTGCTTCATAGCAGATTAGATAAACAGTAACAGAATATAAATAGCGATTTCTCACATTCTCATCATATATAATTATAAGGGCAAAAACTATCATGAGATTATTCCCAAACCAAATCAAAATACCTTTTTGTTCATGTGTCTTCCTGGTGTGGTTCCCTTGCACTCAAAGTCTTGTTTTATTAAAGATGAACATTTTTTTCAGTAATTTAAATTTAGGCCACCAGAAGAAAGGAATTCCTGACAAGTTTTGGAAATTTACAGGGCAATTTTACAGTATAGTAATTTACAAATGGTGCAAACTTACCCTTCCTAATTCAGTCTTGTGGCAAGCTGACTAAAAACCAGCATGTTCATAACTTGTTTTATTTTATTATGGAAAGTACGTTTACCCTTCATGATTTTCAGTTATTGGCAATTTGTATACTTTGTACAGATTTCCTGTACTATGCACTTCTGGAGATTTCTTTTGAGATTTCAAGTACAGCAACATACTGCTAAATAAAATCACATTTTGCGTGCTGAAGTCACATACATGACTTTCACTGGGGCGTGGAAATGCAAACCATGTAGAAACTTAGCATCACCTGCCACTTCTACCATGTTCTCTTCCTCCGCCTCACCTGCAGGATACGCACACTGATCTTTACAGAACAGGTCTAGCAGTGCGCAGAAAGAACCTTAAATCTGCAAGTTTTACAAGGTAACATCCACTCCACTGCAATAATGCAGGACAACATGGGGGTCCAAAGAGAACAAAGAAAACAGACCAAGATCTTCAATACAACATTGGTGAAACAAAGCTTTTCACCTTGCATGCCCTGTTTTACAAGACAGAGAAGTACCAGCATGATTGCCAGCTCAATTCTATGCCCACTGTCTATGCTACCTATGTGGAAACTTTCAAGCTGTCTGTTCCCAAATTCCATGGAATTGCCCATATATGTACATAACCTGATCAAACCAGAATATGCAAATAGTAGGGTACACAGAAGTGGAATTTGCCAGTTTTTCCTCATTTTTACCCATTTAAAATTTTCTTATACATGACAGATATTCACAACTATAGTCCTGTTTCCAAATTACAACAATGTTGATCTGCAGCTGCACAAACACTTGTCAACTTCAGTTCAAATATTGGCAGCAAACTAGCAGAACCCCTTGAAAAAACTCAAGGACTAGCAATAACCATGACTAATGTTACCTTGCTCTTGGAATTTCTAAGAACCTCTGTAATGTTATAGTTCAGAACCTTAAACACTATTACCTTTGACTTACATAATTTCATCAACATATTCAATTTATGTATACAAATAAGTTTTTTTAAAACAGCGCCATATTCAACATTAAATGTAGCATTCTCACATTAATGTAGTTCATTTTTGCTTCTATACTAACATACGTACATCAATACTTTTTGATTTCCCATTGCGCATATTAATCATGACTCAGAGAACAAAAAATGCATATGGAATAATCCTAGCTACCAAACTTTGAAGTATACTTCTGCACAGTGGTTATTCTTGAGAGAAAGAAGGAAACCACTCAAAATAAGGGAGGATGGATTAATTAACTGGTTCAAAATAAAATAAATGATGAGAGCTAAGAGGGGATACTGCATTCTGGACACAAACTCAGGAGACTCACTGGGTGGACTTAGTCATACAATCTTTTAGCCTAGCCTACCACAAAAGACTGAGAGAACAAGTAAGGAAACACATGCATTACCTTGAACTCCTTCAAGACTGGTATTATTATCGGCAATACTGTGAAGAACAATAGTGTTATCCAAGTCTACCTCTTTAAATCAAGGAGTTTGCATCTATGAGCAGCAGCGACAACAACACCAAGTTGGACTGCAGCAATCCTATTTATATAAAGTTACTGTCATGCACCAAGTCTATATGCGTACTACTGTACCAACACAGCTGTGTAATTGTGAAAAACCTCTGGATGCAAATAGGCAAATCAGCCAAGTTATATATCTCTAGGTTAATCCACAGATGTCACTGAGTCGTCCATAATTCCTGTTGTTGAATGTTATGTGTTATTTTAAGTGCAACTGTAGAATTGTAGGCTGAACAAATGATTGTACAACATCTGTTGTTCCTTTGTAATGTTTAATGACGATGCAGCAATTCCCTTCCATTTAAGATGCTTTTCTTGAGCTTCGGAGTTAACTTTGCATTTCCCTTCCCACATCAGCCTTTTCTGAATAACATTGATCCTTTTAAAAAAAAAGAACACCCTTCACTGAAAAGAAACCAGAACTCTTTCAAGCATTCCCAGCATTTAGTTTCTAGTGTATACACACTCCATCATGTTTAACCTGCTAAATAAGTGAGTGACCTTTTTTATGGTGCTGCACAAAGCTTCCTTATCTTCCTTATAGTTGAAATATGAAGGTCTGAAACTTTCTATACAAAAGTTATAAACCACTTAACTACTTCTGTAACTACCTACAGAATTATAGAACCAGATGCATAAGTACTTATTAAAAAGGACACAGGGAAAAATAAACAGTATCTTAGATCATCATGGGTTTATTTGAGATTTACAGACAAAACCCTTTAGACAAATACATGCAAATATTTACTGCACATCTTGACAAGCTGAGTAAATGAAAACCTTCATACAACAGTATTTGGTGGCTCAGGGGATCATTCGGGCATGTAATGTCTGGCTATGTGAATCCAATCCTGAGAGCAAAGTTCAGATCTTCTACTTCTTCTAAGTTGGGCAGCTGCTAAACAATTTAACACAAACAGTTACTGTATTGCAATACAATGTAAGGAAAAGTGACATTAAATCATGCAAGTGGCCTCAATATGCAGAGTCCAGATGTGTGGCCACAGCCTTACCAAGTAGTTTTCTTTTCCAAAAGCGAGCTGGCAGATTTTTCTCCTTTGTTCAGTCAGATGAGTTTTCACACAGGATTTTACACAATATGGCATTACAGTCTTTTTTACAGGTGCAATACAATTTGATTACATTTTTTTAAAAAAATGCAGAACACTTTTCATGCATTTTACATTTTGAACTACAATACAAGCATAACATTACAAAGAAAACTTTCTGCTTAAATGCTTCAGCAAGAGCCTTCATTCTCTTCAAGTTCTGAACACGTGTCAGTGTTTCACTTGCCAGTGTTGTACGTGGAATGTTACTTACAAAAGCTGTGTAAATTAGAAACCATTAAAAGTCAAAGATAGATGCAAAAAGAAATTACCCTCCCCTAACAAAAGAAAACATCCCAGTCATAACCCAAACATACATACTGCAAATTAGAAATTCAATTTTAATGGCAGGAAATAAGAACTTAAGTGATCAGGGATGGAGGAGGAAACATTTTACACATTTCAGTATGGAAACCATTTTGAGGGGCAAAAAATATTGGATTTTACCTAATATCTATTGCAAGCTACTAGATGCCCCATCTGTTAAACTTTATAGCTAGAGTATTTACAAAATCTCAACAACTGCTATTAAAACATTTGGGCTTATTTTATCTCAACTTACCAGATGCTCTGTAGAACTTTCAGGGACATCTGAAGTCAACTTACCAATAACCTCAAATGTATTGTCATTTTTTCCCTCTTCTGTTTTGGTTGGCTCCCCTCCAGATGTCTGTGTCTCATTCTTCACCCTGCACAGCTCACTGTCACCTGAGCCTCCCAATTCTATAGAAGTTTCTTTCAGAACTGGAAGTAGGGATTCCATGCATGTGACCTCTTGGTTTTGCAATTCTTTTCCATCAGAATTCAACAATGCCATACCAGAAGTGACACATTTATCAGCATCTACTTGCAACACTTTGGAAACACCGTGCATTTCAATTAGTGGCATATTTGATTCTGCAGTGCCATCATTTGATGGGGAGACATCATGTGGGCCAATGACATCATAAACCGTAGAGCAAAACTTAACCTGATTCCCAGAGGTTAATGCAACAAAATCAATCATTTCTGGTTCACTAATGGGTTGGTCAATGCCCGGCTCACTAGTTTTACTAGGTTCTAAACAAACTGATACAACAGATGCTAACTTTGGGCTGTTTACATTATCTTCATGTAGAATTTCTGATGGCAGGAGGCCCAACTGCTCAGGTTCTACTTCAATATCCCCCAGACTAATATCAATGGTTTGAATTTCCAGACCTGATTTCAGTCTGGGTGGATTAATAGAGTTTATTTCATCAGACTTTGAAGACTCTCTATCATGTTCAGTGTTTAAACTGAGAGTAAGACTTGTAGGCTGATGAAAATTAAATTCTGAATAAGTAGAATTCAAGTTAAGGTCACCAACTGCTGAGGGATTCAAGGTCTCAGTGTTAATTTCTGTGAAAGTAAGGGCTTTATTTCCAAGATTCCCAACACTGATTTCTGATGGAACAGAATCGAATAATTCTTCAGTCATCTCTGGTTGAATATTGGAACAGCCAGGATTTTTTGTTTCTATTAAATCTGTCCCTTTTGTATCATTTAACTCCACATGAGATCTAGAAGATCCATGTGTGCTATTTTTTATAAACATTAATTGTTTGTTGGAACTAGTTTCAACATTTATAGAAGAAATACTGCTCAAAGTTTCCTCTGCTTGGGAATCCATGGCTCCAGAAACCTTGGCTCCAGAGCTTAATGATGCATCTATTTCTTCATGTTTTCCTAGTGTGCTGCTTATCGATGTTACATTAGTAAGGCACTCATTTGGCATCTCTCCTGATTCTGGAACACTGAGTACATGAAAATCCTCACCATCCTTTGGCTGAGAACAAGCCAATAGTTCTCTTTCATTATTCACATGGAAGGAGTCTAATTCACCTTCATTTAAAAGCTTCAATTCTGCATCTGTGTTCTGGATCTTGGAATGTTGAGGAATTTCCTCACTGGTTCCTGATTCAAGTCTCTGAAATCCCCCAGTGCCCAGGGTTAGATCTAGTGTTGATCCAGAAGAACTCTGATCAGTGACTACCATTTGAGGATCTTCTTCATTCGTTTTTGAAGAGGAGTCTATTGACTCCCACACCTGCTGACTCTGCACATGCATATCTGAAACCCATGTAGAAATTGTCAGTTCAGAACTAAGAGCAAGTAGGTTCTCTGCTGCTACTACAGGCCCTTCTCCCTTAGTTTCAGTCTGTGTTTCAAATGACTCTGAATCCTCTCCCTTACTACCTCCAAAGTCATATCCTACTAATTCTGGAGGATTTCTTCCAACATCTCTTTCAGTTAAATTTGCCACATACGCTTTCATTTCCAAATCATTCTCAACCTCATTCAGCTTGGATTTGGCATAAACCTCATATTTTTGTTGGTTTTGTGGCTTTTCATTCATGTCTTTGTCACCAGTCACAGCAATATCTCTTGTGACCACAGAGTTGTCAGTAAAATCAATACTCTCATCTGGTAATTGCCCTGTTAACTCTTGATCATGAGGAGAATTAAGTCCCTTTGTTTGCTGCTCTGATGGTTTCTCAATAGCATCTTCTAAAGGACCAGTGCTCTCTTCAAACAACTGCAGTATTAACTTATCCTTTGCTGTCTCAAGTGCTAATCGATTCTTGTCATGTTCTTCCAATTGTATAGTGCTGCTTCCTGACACCTGCATGACTAATTCTGGCGTCTTAAGCTTCAATGGCTTCTTGGTAAGATCTTCTAAAGATGTAACTGTGTGTTCTAGCAATTGCACTGTTGATTTTTTATCACCAGGAGATTTACACTCTGTTGTCTCAAGCTCTGATGGCTTCTTGTTATCTTCCAAAGAAGGGGCACTGCTTTCTGAAAACTGCAAGACGAATTCTGACATCTCAGACTTCAAAGGCTCCTTACTAACACCTTCCAAAGATGCAACACTGTCTGAGAACTGCACAGCTAACTTATTAATATCAAAAGATAAATGCTCTGTTTCCTCAAGCTCTGATGCCTTCTTGCTATCATCTTCCAAAGAAAAAGTGTTAATTTCTGACAACTGCATATCTAACTCTGCTTTTTCAAGCTGTGGTGACTTCTTGCTAAATCCATTTATTTCTTCCTTTTTCTGAAAGAAAGCAGAGGCACTTGCTGGAAGATCATTCAGTTCCGAGGTTTCCAAATATCCCGATGTAGACTCTGTATCTGAAAAGGAGACTTTCCCTGATTCTCCATCACCAATAGTTTTGCATTCAATGGTTTCGTCCCAGACTGCCGAACGTTTCTCAACTTTTACTTCCTCTTTTTCTAGGGTTCTATCATTTAAGGGGAGTTTGCTAACATCTGAAGAACTGTACACATTGCATAGAGACTCTTGAGGTAACACATTGTTGCTTGGTTTAGAATCTAAGAGCTGGTCTGTGTTTTGCCCTCTCTCAACAGGATTTAATTTTCCTTTATCTGAAGTTGCAGAACTCACAGGTTTACTGTCAGCTGGACTCCTCCCACTGCTGTTATAGAAAATATCATACAGATCTTGGGCATTACCTGCAGCTAGGGAAGTGTTCTTTTTCTCTAGTTTTTTAACATGGTCCCTGAAAATGGTTGGAGGTGGCAAAGGACGAGGACACATGGGCATTGCCAGTATGTTTTTATCATCCTCAGACACACCAGGAGCCATATCGTCTGCCAAGATAACTGTCTGGTTTGCTGGCAGCAAGGGTGATGGTGAAAATGGTGGTGGTGGCGGCGGTGGTGGCGGCGGCAGTGGCCGTGTTAATGCCAGTGGCGGTCTTGGTGGCAGCTGCAACAATGGAGGGCGTCGTGATCTATCATAAATCAAAGACTCATTTATCAATGCCATTCTTATAATCTCTTGCTCTTTTGCTTTAGCTGCAAGCTCCCGTGCCTTTGCTTGTGCATTTGCCATAACAGCTGCTTGTTCCTGTGCCTTTACTGCACTGGCCTTTGCATGTTCTAGAGCCTTTGCATGGTCTAAGGCTTTTGTCACGCTTTCTTGCTCTTGTTCCTCTGCTTGTTCCGGCAGCTTTGCATTCTCCTGGGAGCCCTTTAAAACTACTACTTCTCCCCCAAATGCTTTTGAAATAATATCTGGAGGCAGAACTATTTCTGAACTACCTTCTTTAACAACCGGAAGTGGCTTAGTAGTGGCACCAGAAGACTTTATAGACAGGAAAGTATTTAATGGTGCTGGCTTGCTTACTGTTGCAGTTGCAGACTTTCTGAGAACCATCGTGGGTACTGGTAAATTAGGTCTGATTTTTGATTGTGATGGAGTTGAAACAACTGGTGTCCAGGGACTAGTGTGTGGGATAACGGTTTTCCCAGATAACTTGATCGCAATAGGTTTTGAATTTGATTTTGCAGGCTGGGACTTACTTTCTTTATCTTTGCATTCCTCAACACTCTCTTCCTTAGGAGCAGCTACATCTTTTCCTTGACTTTTTTCATCTTTCTCAGTCTTTCTCCAGCTGAATTTTCCAAAAGATGACAGTCTTGAGTCTTTGGGTGATTCTTCTGTTTTGCCCTCTTTCTTCTCAACTTCTTTGTCATATTTCTTCAGTCTAAGCTTAATTCCACATTTTTGCCCATTAGGAATTTCATCCTTTTTATTAATGTCATGATCATTATCCCCATCTTCTAGTTCTTTTATAGTATTTGGTTCCTCCCTCCTTGCTACTTTTACAATCTTTTCATCTTTCTCCTCTTTTTGCTTTTCACACTGCTTTCGTTTCAACCTGCGTTCTGTTTCTTGAATCACAGACAAGCCTGCCTGGCGGTCTAGGTTCCTTCTCTCTTCATAAAGTGGATTTTCATCAATATGTTTCTGTGGGGAAAAGGGGGAAATGTCAGCACTGTTAATCAGTAAAGTACTCAAAAGACTTAATCAGTGCAGTAACACAGGGCTGTTCTTATTAGTTAAGGATGTAAGAATTCCTCATGCATTCCACTCCACATAATTAAATGCAACAGAAAAGCAGGGATGCAGGAGGAAATGTTCATAGACCCTTACGACTTAGAATCTAAATGCTAGAAATACCTCTAGAAGGTTCTGCATTCCTAAACAATAGAGTAATATTTGATATGATGCTTCAGTCCATCCAACAGAAAAACTAAAATCCCAGCAAAATAAAATAAATGTAATGTAATGAAAATTCAATAATACAGAAAATATCCAACATGAAATACAAAGTCAGACCACTGAACCATCAGTACTGTGCCCACTGACTGACAATAGTTCTTTAAGGTCAAACAATATTTTTCCCCAGCCTAGACCTGAATGTAGAACATACGTTCAATCTTTCAGTTGGAGCCTATCTTCTTCTCGATCAGTGGTTCCCAACGTTGGGTAACCCAGGTATTCTTAGACTGAAACTCCCAGAAATCCCAGCCAGCACAGCATAAAGGCTTCTGGGAATTGCAGTCCAATAACCCCTGGGTTACCCAAGGTTGGGAACCACTACTCTAGATCAAGAAAATGTCTAAAAACAGTTTTTAGGAAAGTTATATTATGCATTCAAAGAACTGCCTACAGCTAACATACTGGATACTCACTTTATACTTCTCGTTATGTGGATGACTCTTCACATGTTGTTCTGCTGATATTTGGTCTCCAAAAAATTCATGGCAGATTTGGCAGTAATATCCAGTGACTGGGATAAGAAATTCAGAGCCTGAAATGTTCCCAAAAGAATCAATCACAGAAACACATCACAAGATATTTGTGCAGCTTTAAAATAAAGCATCAACAAAAAAACCTGTTCTACTAAAACTGAATTATTTAGCTATTCCACCGGTGACTCCTGAATCTGAAAAAAGCTGCAGAGTAGGAATGCTTTTCAATCCTCATCTAATTCAAAAGCAGAGCAAACTGTTAGAAGATAATTGGGAAAGTAGACAAAAGGGAACAGTCTGACATAGTTCTACAAAACGCAGTAATACAAGAAATGAGTAATTTATTTTGAACTGCTAAAGACAAAAACCAACATACCTTTGGCAGGAACAGGTATTTTGTCAATGTGTTTCACGACTTCTTGCTTCGTTTCATTTTCTGTCTTTGTCCAAGGTCTGTTATATGGATCTAGGGTCTATTTGCAGGGTGACAGGAACAAACAAACTAATGTATCAAACGGACATTTTTTTTCCATTTAAAATTCAGGATCAACTAAAAACAGGGAATCAACCCAGAAGAAACATATACACAAGGATTTCTTCCCCTCCTTCTCCACTCCACTGTAACTTACAAAAGAAATGTACAGTGGTGCCTCGCATTACGACGTTAATTCATTCCAGCGAAATCACTGTAGAACGAAAACGTCGTAAAGCGAAAATAAAAAAGCCATTGAAACGCATTAAAACGTGGTTAATGTGTTCCAATCGGCTAAGAACTCACCGTCCAGCGAAGATCCTCCATGGGGCGGCCATTTTCGGGTGCCTGTGCAGCGTAAAATGGCTCCTAAACACAGTGGGGAGCCATTTTGAACACCCGGCGACCATTTTGAAAACCTGACGATCAGCTGTTTTGATCGTCGGGAAGTGAAAATCGGTTCCCGAAACAGGGAACTGATCATCGCACAGCGAAATCCCCCCATTCAAAACGTCATTTTGCGATCGCTTTTGCGATCGCAAAAAAACTCGTCGTAATGCGGATTCGTAGTTAAACGGAGCACCCGTCTTGCAAGGCACCACTGTATTCACAGTTGTGCAGTTAATCAAACCAAAATGAAGTTGCTGATCAAAGACATGGTTTTACATAACAATTGGATTTGTGGTAAAAACAGTATGAACAAAGTATGTTTTTACCACATACCCAAAAGAACAGATTTTGTACATCACAAAATATGCTACAAAGTATTTAATTTCTACAAGCGTTTTGGACTTTGTGACAGAAGGCTACACTTTCCAAACTAGGACTGTACTAAAGTGGCCCTCTAAACCAGGGGTTTCCAAACTACAGCCTGTGGGCCACATCTGGCCCTCCTTGCCTTTTTATCCGGCCCAGCGAACATCACAGGATCAGGTCCACAGGCCCAGTTGGCCGTTTGTGAGGCAGGCATGTATACACACACATGCATTCCTTTAGCCCTCAAAAAAGTGGGAAATAATACGATGTGGCCTTCACAGTTAAAAGTTTGGAGACCCCTGCTCTAAACTAAATTTTACAAATCCAATTTATGGTAAACCCAATGAACATGGTGGCCAATATAGATACAATGTTTTTTTAAATAGAACCTTGATTTCTATGCCATTCACTGCCACTGAAAAGTGTATTTTACAACTTACACAGCAAGTGAAAACACCTTAATGAGAAAATAATAATGGGCACATACCTGTCTATGCTTTTTATTATGCAGATGTGTGAAAAAATCAAACATGGTTCCACATATGGTATTGCAGTCCTTGCACCAATGGTTTCCTGCATCGTAATAATTATAAATACTGCCCTCCTGGTGATGGTGTTTTGAGGACGGTGAAGAGGAGTCTGTAGGCTTGGGGCTCTTATCCTTTGGCTTGTCACCTGTAGCTCTGGATTCCTAAATTGGACAAAACAGAACTTTTTTTAAATACAGAATGGCAGAGGTCCTCTGAACTAGCCTCTAGAAGAGACCACACAAAAAATAAATGTAATTATATATCACCTGTTTGTCAATGCTCAGGATAATTCCACCATTTCAGTGAGCTGGCTCAGAGGTTGTTCAGTCAACAGGAAAGAGCTTCCAACGAGACTTAAGATATGTTGGCTGGATGGCAGGAAACCAGTACTCAGGGAATTAAATGTTTATCCCATGGAGTACGCATTGAGGTATGTGTATATACGTGTGCACAGACATTTTATGCATAAACAATTCCAATAAGGGAAACAAGATTATGTAAAAGGTTCCACTCCTTTGTCATACTATGGCAAATTTGACATATTTTCAGATTTAATAACAAATGAAGTAAAAAGTATCCATTGTTTAATTATATATAACATGATTGGCATGAAGTTAGTTTTTAATAGTGCCTCCAATTCAATGGGAGTTCGCAATCTATTGAACAGACTGGAAGTCTTATTTTTTTAAAAAAATTCCACTACAGATCTTACAATTTATGTCTTTAAAACAAAACTGAAGTGCTTTAGGTTGTTAGCTATCTCGAAGAAAGTAAAAGCAATAAGTACTACGTCATGAATTACTGAATTACTATCAGACATGCCACTTCTTTCTATTATATCTGCCTATGAATGTGAAAAACAGGAAGGGGCAACCATTTAATCTATTGCAGCCGAAACAATAAAGAATTTTGTCACAACTTAGACAACCAAGTTTTATTTGTGTACGTATCTGATTAAGTGGCTGGCAGTCCACATAAACTGACAGCAAAAGTGTTAGTTTTTAAGATGCCACAGGATCAACTGTGTAATACTCTTTGTATTTTGGTTGCATGGAACCATAATATGTGCTACAAGCATCTTCCAACAGAATACGTCCCTTCATAATGAGTTTTCACTGTGGATCTAACAGAGATACAAACAGTTGGAGAAGATGCGTGAACTGTTCCTCAAACTCTTTCAACCCATTGTAAGAACTGGTTCAATCAAGCAGCAGAAGTACCAATGTACAACCCACATATATTGATCAATATGTATATAATATGGTTTTCTGCTAACAATATTTAGAGCAAACCAGTGAAGAATATCCGTGTTTAATAATATCTTATTTATGTTGTGCATTCATATCACTCTAGTTCTCCTCCTTCAGTCTCAAAGAATGCTATATGGTCCTTCTCTACTAGTTTGCTTATTTACATGAGTAATAGATTGTGAGTCTTAATAACTGAACAGCCCTTAGTTCTTAATTTTTCTGAGAAGGCACGCCACATTTCTTTACAGTGTGCTCAATCCACAGTTGCTTTTACAGGAATGGAAGAGTGCTTCTGTTCACAGTAGAGAACGATACACAGCAGACACTCTTTGGAAGGAACAGGGAGAATTTGTTTGCGTTTTCTGAAGCAGTTCTGAAGCTTTAAAGGGCATTGAGATTATGAAATGTGGAAGAAAGGTTGCCTGCCCATTTTCTCTCCTGCAGGAACATCCCATGAATAAATAGTCTGACTCAAAAATTCAATGTAAAAAGTAAAATGTAGTATGTTACTGTACATCTCACTTAAAACTAACAAATTAGTGATTTGTCTTAAAAAACAAGATTTTGAAGAATCAATAAGAAGAAACACAGGCAGCTGGTTTGATTCCAATATAATTATCAGCATCTTCAAGTGAAATGAGAAAATGCCACAAAAATCCCTTTCCTTCCTTTTTAAAATCAAAAACTTAAAAATAAAATGCTCCCTTTCGTTGGAGGTGCATTTAAAGGCTGTAATGCTGGCATCTACTTTTGGCAAAGAATGCCAAAAGTTTCCTTTAAGAAAGTATACAAAACTAAATAGTAGGACTTAAACACATCATTTTCTACCTCTCACAAACTTCTTTGTTTTATGCATCTACTAAGTCTGACAGGGAAAACAATCCTGTTACATTACAATTGTCCAGTTTTCAGTAATGTTTATTACTCAGTTTATATTATTGCCCAAAACTGGACCATACATACATTAATTCTGAAATTAAAAAGACACAAAATTCAGTCTCATAATCATAGCCTGTTACTATTTAATGTGCTGTCAAGTCAGAACTGACTTATAGCAACCCGAATAGGGCTCTCAAGGTGAGATATTTAAGGATTGGTTTTACCAGTTCTCCAGCAAGTTTCCATGACTCAGTGGAGATTCAAAGCCAGACCTCCTGAGTCCTAATCCGACACTCTGTCCACTACACCAAACTAGGTATCCATCGCAGCCTGGAGAAACTACTGAAACTCTTCTTCTTTCTAGAACAGGGGTCAGGGAACGTTTTTACTTTTTACCACCCCCCAAATTTATAAACGTTAATATTACACATGCCCCCCTTCGCGCCATCCGCGGCCGACCCCCGTCCCACCTCTGCACTCGCCCGGGACCTGTGGTCATCATCCGGGCAGCTAGGCTGGAGCTGCCACACCGCTGGAGAAGTGCATCCTTGGCGAGGGGAGGTGAGCGCCGCAGAGCTGACAGGTCCACTGGCCATGAGCTCAGGTGAGGCGGGGTGGGAAGGGGGCCTCCTCGCCAGTGCACCGGGCAGATGGGCGCAGGCAGGAAGGAGAGCCCTGGCCAGGGCTCTGCCGGGCAAAGAGTCCAGCTGGCCTGGTCCACTGCCCTCCCCCCACACACTTTGGAGGTGAGGAGGACAGGCAGGTGTCCTGTGCAGTTCCTTGCCACGGCTCGCTCTCCCCGCAACGGAACGCCTGCCTACACACAGCATCGTCAGAAATAAAATGCCTGGGGGTAAAATGCCTGCTGTGACCGTCGTCATTACCCACAGGATTTTCATTTTTACCCCATTTGGGCTAATTTACCCCTGTTCCCTGACCATTGTTCTAGAATGTAATCAAGCTTGTTCTCAGACCTGTCAGCACTTAAAATGAAAACTCTTTTTAAGGGCAAAGTTATCCTGCTGTTATCCCACAGCTACCTGGGTTAATGATGTCAAGCACCATGATGATTTCTAAACCTTGTACTTTATCTCTAGAAAACAGGTGGCAATAAATGTCCCCCCAACAGTTCCTCCCCTCGATGAATACATGTGTTAGCATCAGCCTTTAGAATGTTACCTTGATTGAGCTGGAAGTTCTCTCCTGAGTTTTTGCATTTTCTGATTTATTTTTTTCTGAGGAGTCTTTATTTTCTGAAGATGGTTTCCGGGATTTCTCAAAAATATTAATCCCTAGAATCTGAGCTACCTTGTCAAGCTCAGATTGTTTCTTCTCTGCAGCATCAACACTCATCTTCAATTGAGTAATCTCTTTCATAATATTCTCTTGTAGGCGATTCACTTCCACTAGTAAGGGATCCTTGTGCCCATCCTTCTCCCTACGTTTCTTCCGCAGCATTTCCCCTACACCAGTCAAAGTAATGGAGCACGAAATACAAGAAAACCATGTTACCACATACACAATTGTTGTACATAACTGAAATTATTAGATACCACTGTTTGGCTCAAAAGTCAGAAGCTGCATCTGTGTCACTGAACGCAAAACTGAGAATGATTTGCCAACAGTGATATAGGATGCATGTGACAAGAAAAAAGAATTCCATTCTTTTCAGTAGAATATTCAAGCATTATAACTCAAAGGAATGTGAGGAAAACACAAACATAAAATGAGAAAATAATACCTTGCTGTTTTGAAAGTCTGTTTAACTCAGTCTTCAGATAGTGCAGTTTCTTCTGTCTGGCTTCTTGTTCAGCCTTCAACTTCTCTCTTTCTTCCATTACCTGGAAGGGTTACAAGACAAACAAAGGAACTGAAATGGCCCCCTTGACTGACCACAACCAAAGCAGCTCTGCAGGACCATTGTGGTGATTCACAATAAATTTTCTTGAATCCAAGACATTCTGATAATTATTTTAAGATAGCAATTTGAATTAATATGTGATGCAAATTTAGCAGAAGGCAATTTATTTACCACATGCTGTGTCTGTGTTTCTTTTTCAATCTAATTTAAAGTGCCACAACCAAGTCCTCAAACTTTATACAATCCTCCACTAAGAAACTTTCTGATGTGTGTCATTCAAGTCAGAGGAAGAGAGGAAAAGATAGGCAGGCTACAATCCCAACAGATTTTGATTCATGTGGAGAGGCTACCCACATACAACAACCTCTCCACTCTCATGGCTGTCATCTTCATTTATTGAAAGTGATGTGGTGGAATTAACATTCTTCCCAAAACACGTGTGCTCCATTTGCTTAGATAACAACTGATGACGGCTACAGTTAAGTATTCCTTAAGAAGGTGTAACTATGTTGACCTGTGTCCATCATCTGTATAACATAAATGATCCATAAGCATTTATATTTGAAGATACTGTGCTGTTTACTGGTAAATTCTGGACTTTACTATCTTTCTCTTCGCTCCCAAATAAGACGTAACATCCACAAAAACACAACAGAATGTATAAAAGAAATACAGAACAGAGCTTCATCTCAAACATACTATTTTCATCCCAAACTATAGTGTATGTTACAGGTTAGATTTATTTCAACTATTTCTAAAATGCTGCTGAAAACACATTTTAAAAACTTTAAAATACTAATGATGCACAGTGTTCTTTAAGACCTATCGAAGAATATCTGTTTACCAGAGCACCTCTGAATAATAGTCTAATTTTGTAAGATACTAGATTAACATCCTACTTTTAAAAATTCTACAGTAAAATACTAGACATGGAATAAAATACCCTGAAATTAAAAATGTTTTGAATGGCTATAAAATTGCAACATTCTCATTTAATCCTAAATTAGTTTAATTCTAAATAAGGAGTTCAACTTTGCACCTTGTAGTATTTTACACAGAAAATAACTGAGGAAATATGTACAATAGCAAATACACAATATATATACTTTTAAAGTATATATTGGCATTCAGAAGTATTCACATACAAGGAGAAAAGCTAATTATCCCTTCCTCACTAGCTACTACTGCTGGCACAGGTTCTGATACATTTTATGGGAAAAGTGTAAGATTCAAAAACAAACACAGACATTCAGCATATTCATGCCTTCAAATTATGCATTATGAAAAAATATCTACCCGAGTGATTTAAAAATGCTCACCTTTTGCTTTTGAGAAGCACGGTTTCTTTCATCAGATACTCTTTCCTTGGAATTTTCAAAAGGAGGCTGAGGGTACTGAGGAAGTACTTTCAAATAAGGAGTCGCACTAGGGAGCTGCATACGCAGAGAATCATCTCGCTTGATATCAGGAGCCCCTCTGCCTGTGGAAACTGTCTCAATGACCCGGAGGTTTGGTCGTGTTGGATTTGGTGGCACTGGCAGAGGGACAAGCCCATGTATGTCTGAAAGTGCTGGGTCAGCCTGCTGAGCATACATGGGCCAGCCAGAAGCTGCATAAGCCATATAGTGTCCATATGCATCATAGCCAGGAGGGGGCATTGTGGGAGAGGGATAATTTTGTGGTAACTGTGTTGCAGTGAATGGTGGAAAGTGTGACACATTGTATTGGGAAACAGAGGTGGGAGGAGATAAATTAGAAAGAGAAGGGGGGGCCGATGGAATTACAGGTATCGGGGGAACTGTCCCCTCTGGTGTACTGGAAGAATTGTCCTGCCTTAGAGTCTTGTGTGTTTTGTGATCAGATTTAGAAAGAGAAGACATATCTTTAGATTGTGGGAAGGAACCAGGAGGGGAGAGTGAGTGCTTTCGACTTGATTCTGGAGAAAGAGTATTACTTCGACTGCGTCGCCTCTCCTGGGATTCTGGTTTATGAGAAGACACTACATGGTGATCCGGAGAACGAGAAGGTTTCTTCCCATGGAGTCGTTCCTGTGTGCGGGCAGCAAGCTTACCAATTTCAGCAACCCCAATGTCAAGCCCAATTGTTTTGAGCAAGTCATGGATCTTCTCATATTCTGGCCTGGGTTCTTCTGAAATGTCTGCTTTTACAGATGGAACAGGGGGAGGGGGAGAATTTGCTTTCTGTCTTACAGGTTCTTTTCCAGCATTCTGTGCTACCTTTGGGGCACAGGGGGAGTTAGTATCGGAGTCATCCTCATAATCACCATACAGGAATTTCTCTTCATCCTCTATGTCATCTGGCAAGCTGCGCCTTCTCTTTTCTTGAGTAGAATCAGCCATCATGCCCAGAATACGTGAAAAGCCACTCCCGTCCTGGCTAGCTCTTTCATGAGGAAGCAAGAAGTCATTCTGCCAGTCAACAGGCTCTGATGTCAACTCAGTATGCTCCTTCGGAGTTAAAAAACTTCCAGAGTTTTGTGAAAAAGGAAAGGAACTTTGGTTTTGGTCTGAATATGGTCTCCAATCGTGCCCAGCACTTTTAGACTCCTTATTGGCAGCTAGTTCTGCAACTGCATTTTTATTGAACTGTTTGAGGAAATTTTCCACCTCCAATGCAAAAGGAGCAAGAGTGCTATGCTGGGGTGAAGGAGGAGGATCTGAAAGAAGTGGAGGCTCTTTGACAGATGTTTTAGAGAAGACATCAGGCTACAAGAAAAAAGAAGTGTCATTTGTTGATATATTTAATCACAACATAAATCAAAATTCTAACTCATATGAGAGAAAACACATTCCCACATATGGTCACACCCAATTGTTTAAAAACACTAGAAGGAAACTGTAAAAAGTTAAGACTGAAGGAGAGGCAGGAGCTCTAAATTATTGTCTAGAAAGAAAGGACACACAGAGAGAGAGAGAAAGAAAGAGAGAGAGAGAGAGAGAGAGCCCTCATTGCTGAAAAGCCCAGGTACAGTATATATATTTTTGTTCCACTTACTGGTGAGCAACAAAATTACCACTGTGCAAAAAATGTGAGCCTGGATGATTTGGCAATAGATGAAAATTATCTGTCCTTAATCCTCTCCAGAAGCTGAATTATACATGTATCCATTAGAAACATTGCAGCTGTATTTGAACTTTTAGGGTTAAACTCAAAAATTACTGCCAACCAGATTAGACCCACAGAGTCAATGGGAGATATGTACATGTTAGTATCTTTATTCATTCGGTATACTTCAACTGGGACTAATAACTGGATTTAGAACCTTTAATAACTAGGCTCTAGATGTTTCTTCAGAACAACTAATACCAAACACTAAAAAAACCTCAAGACAAGTAAACGTCTCTATTCTTAGTTAAACAGAACACAAGATGCTGATTACATACATTCATCCTAAATAATCTTCACAACAATGAGGGCTTCATAAACAGTGTGCTTTAGGGTTCTTTATTCAGAGATTAACAAAGATATAGTTAAATGTTGAGAATAAAAATTAAATAAAAATATTAAACTGTAACAGAGTTACACAAGAGGGGGAAGAATACACCTCAAACCTGCACAGAAGGATCATCCACACGTTTCTTCAAGATAGATTTTTTTGGCATTGCTGGTGCTTCATCAGGTCTGTACAGGTACCGAGGTTCAGTAGACTGTATTGTGCTAGTTGAGCTAGGCACCATGTAGCCATTACCAGAGAGTTCCCGATTTAAATTTCTGCCGAGTGCCTCCTCTTTTTTTTTTCTCCTAGCATTTTCAAGTTCACGGAACTCCTCATCCAGATATGGCGGGCTTGGGCTTCTACTGAGACTTCTTTTACGATAGTTTCGCGTTCCTGGCAAGAAACCCTGAGTCTCTGTGCTCATGTCAATTGATCTTTCATCTCTATCATACCGAGCACGTTTCAGTTCTCGCCCTCTATCCTCTGATGAGTATAGGGACTTTCTAACTGGTTCACCATCCCTATCAGTTTCTCTTGACTGTTCCTGTAGATGGTCATAGCTTACGCCATAGTCCGGTTTGTGGATAAAAACATCCCTACTGCGATAATCTTTATCATGTCTTATCATATGGTAAGGGCTAGAAGCATTCTCTTCACAAGAAGGGTATCGCTCAATGCTTCGGGAACGTGAAAGACGTCTGCTAAATATTGGACCATCAGCCAAGTCATCTCTGATGAGAAAGGTACACGAGTTACTACATCAGCAACCTTAAAAAGTTGGCACATAGTGAACTGCCTAAGATTAATCAATACAGTGGTGCCTCGCTTAGCGATGTTAATTGGTGCAGCAAAAATCACTGCTAAGTGATTTCATCGCTAAGCGATTTTAAAAAGCCCATAGAAATGCATTAAAACGTGTTTAATGTGTTCCTAT